AACAGGTTCAAGTGAAACATTAAGGATTAGAGGACTATGGTCAGAGGAAAGTTCATTTAGACGTGTAATGGAACAATTGAGGGGACTTAAGCCGCTGTGGATAAAGAAATCTAGAAGATCAGGATTACGGTTGGGATCTGTGGGCCAGTAGGTAGGAGAGTTGGGGGAAAGGAGGTGAAAACGTTGGGAATTGAGTGCAGACAGCAGGGTTCGGCCACGAGAATTCGTGGTGCTAAGCAAAATTAGTGATGATATAACATGCATTAAAAGCACAGTCGACAAACAAGCAACTGTGACATTTGAAAACTCGGAACGGCTCAAGGAGATGGAAGAACGTTCTGAAAGACAGGAGGAGATTATTGAATAGCTATAACAGAAAATAATAACCTAAAAGAGGAGATTAAAAATATGAAGATCAAATTAAATTGCGCAGAACAGGCCCAGTTTTCCACACGAAGACCTGGCAAACGCCCGAATCTTTACAACCAAAGATCCATCTTACTTTCTTGATTTGTTTACTCCTTGTTCCTCTGATCATTCGTTTAACACGAGATCCCAGTCCATAAACCTGTTTCTTCCCTCTCATAGAGCCGTTTCCTTTAAAAAATCCTTTATCATGCGTGATACCTTTTTTTGGAATTCTCTGTCTATATCTATACGCAAATCCTCTTCCATAATCTTATTTAAATAACATTTATTCTTACAACTCCTTACCAATCAATCTTTCGAATACATGTAAGAATAACATATCATATTAAAGTTACTCTCATTTGACTGTTGTGTTACTTTTACTTATACATCATCAATATTGTTAATCTGAACAAATATGTGAACACACTCATTTATACTTATGTACAAATTAATATTTTACTTGTACTTCATTTATTATAATTATGAGGTTAGATTATTATGATATGTTAGCTAAAATTGTTCTTTTTTTTTTTTATAATACCAGACAATTTTCATATTTCTGTACATTATAATTATTCTTAGGGGACTAAATGCCCAAGAATAAAATTTATTTTTCTTTCATTCGAAATTGTATGAACAGAGGGAGGATTTATACAATTGAAGGATCACAAAATATTCATCTTATTATTATTATAAAAACAGTAAAGAGGGATTTCGCATTTGAAAGGACTTTTAAAATGGTCAATTACCTAGGACTCCATCTGGACAAACGTCTAACTTGGAATCCTCATACCAGACTGAAACGACGAGAAACAGCTCGACGTTTCCGCCTACTTCAACACTTACTAGACAAACGCTCTAACCTTCCAATTAATTATAAAAGACTCATTTACATGACTATAATAAGGCCTACTTGGACGGAGTTGAGCTATGGGGCTCCACCAAACCTTCAAATTCCTCTCGCATCCAATCCTTACAATCCAAAATCCTTCGTAAAATCCTCAATACTCCTTACTTTGTTACAAATAAAATCATCCATAATGACATTAATGTTCCTTATGTATCAGATTTGGCCCAATCCAAATATCTGTCCTTCCATAATAAACTTCATAACCATCCCAACCCTCTTGTTTCTAACCTTTCTTCCTATTCAATTCCTGCTAACCCTCCGAGGCGTCTGAAAAGAAGATGGCCACGTGATCACCTACTATAGACGTATTATTAGAGTGCTACCAATGGGTAGTATCTCAACATGTGTTTCATGTCATTATATCCTTGTGCGAATTTACCAGATGTATTTTTTGTATACAGTTGTAAATATATAAATAAATAAAAAAAAATTATCAAAAAATAGGACTGGTAGTGTTAATGTAGATGTTTTGAAAATTGAATATATTTTTAAAAAGAAAAAATGCTTTACCAGCCGATTTTGAAACAAAATACATTGCAAAGTAAAATACATTTGCGCATACTGAAGTAAAAATAGTATGCACTCTTAAATCGGACAATATTTTCGTTAAAAGCTCCCCTGACAACATAACAATGGACCCTAATATCGATTAAATCCTAACAGTTACAAAAACGTGATGCGCAATTGCTCAATCATAAATCAGACAGTAATTTCATAAAAAGCGCCCCCGACAGCATAATTGTGGGCCCTAATATCGACTAAATAAAAAATTGGTTTGAGGTTGCGCAATCTCAAATCCAACAGTATTTTCATTGATAGTGCGCCCAACTACATAATAACGGACCATCATAACGATGAAATCCAAAAATGTACAAAAATTCGATGCGCGATTGTGCAATCTAAAAAGCGCCCCCGACAAAATAACAATGGACCCTAATATCGAATAAATTCGTAATGTTTTAGTAAGTTGATAATTTATTGATTTACGTTAATATCGATAGTATTTTTAAAAACTAGAATCCCCATAACATAAGAATAGTTTTGGAATGGACTTAATCCGTGATAATATGATAATATTAATTTAACTTTAAATAATATGTAATATGCCAATCATAATGCACAAATCCATAGATAGCCAGGTCAATCAGCTATCTCTGATAGCTTAGAAATAGAATGGACTGACTGGACAGAAGGCACTTATCAAGACTTAGGGAACAATAACCGATTTCAGCTAAAGGGTACTTTCTCACAGACTTCATATCAATTCTAAAAGATAAGCATACCAATTCTTAATACTTGATAACTTCATTCACACGCTTCCTAGTCCGACCAGAATTGATTAATCCCCCTACTATTCCTGAGCATATAACCCCCATGATCCTCAGACCAAACCACTCATGTAGATTATTCCCTTGATGTCTCTTACTGCAGGAGACCTGGAGTGAACTTATGCAGTTGCATTCTTCAGCATGTAGTCAACTCATATATCCATAGTATATTACTCTGTATTTTAGATGTCATTTGTAACATTATGAATAAAACCATTATTTATAAAGTCTCCACTGCCTCCGATTCGTTAACTAATGAACATAAATATTTAAGAAATATAAAATATTTTACTCCTGTAATTTGTCAAATGAAGCACTCAATTACATCTAAATGTACTTGTTGTTGAAGTAATTGTGGAAATAGAAAGTATTCACTACTGGTATATTATACTGACGAGGTTATTGAGCATCTCTTTGCTGTTTTACGATTCCAATAGGCAATAGAAATTATTCAACATGAGACCTGTTTACAGATTACTATTCCTGAAGATGAAGAAGGATTTTAATGATTCATACAAAACATAAAACTATCAACTCTTAAAACTGTAAATCGATTATATTTCTGAGCAGTATAATTTCATTTTTTTTTTAAACAGGAATACATTTCAAGAGATATTTCCTAAAATCTGTATACAAATATATATATATATATATATATGGTTATTGATGTTTTGTTTGTCAAGGATGAATATTTCTGTTGTTTGGTTTGTGTTGGGATAGGGTTTCTGGGACGGGGGTGCGCGTGGGGGCCCTGTGGCTTGATACACGTACTGGACGGTGATACTGAGGCTGTCGGTGTGCCCCTGGCTTGGAATATCTATATGGAATATGGAATATCTATAATATGGAATATATATATATATATATATATATATATATATATATATTCATATTATATAAAATAGAAAATTGAACTTTATTCTAGGACTAAGTTCCCTAAGAATAACATTAATGAACAAATACAAAAGAAAATATATATCTGGCCAAAAACTAACTTGATAAATATTCTACTAATATATACAGTAATTTAAATAATATTATATAAACCACTACAAAAAATAGAATAAAAAATAAAGGATGCCTATATGTATGTATATATACACATAAACACATACAAATATATTTTTTTTAATAAAATCGATTTTTTAGTTTACCATTAAAAAATCGTTTAACATCTATCTTTTAACAGTGTACAAAAACATTTCCGAAATTAAATTCCCTTTTTCTAATTAAGCAGATACAATTTTGAACAAAACAAACTAATTAATTCCTTTCTATCGAGTTTTGTCCAGCTAGATTGCTGACATTAATTTCAGACATTAATTGCGACATCGGTTAATTTTTTTTTTTTTTTATTTTTTTTTAGAATACCAAATAATACATAAGTCCTTTTATTGATATTTTCTGGAATTCGTGAAAATATTTTCAGTTTTCAGAATCAATATTTTTCCCTTTTCATATTGAATTGTTCAGTTGAAAACCTAGACATTTTGTGGAATTTTCCGCGATTTGAACGTTTAATAAAATTGCTTAGTTTGAGCTGGTGGAAAAAAAAAAAGTATAAAACTTTGTTCACAACATTATTTTATCAAGATTAGTAGAGTTTGATCATCTTTTTTCCCCTTTTTTTGTTCACTTATCTTGAACCATTTTCGGTACTCCCATTAGACCTATATATCGGCCTTACGACCTTAATTTATTGAGATTGATAGAGTTTGACTTTGTATTTATTTCATTTAATTTTTTTTTTTTTACGGTCCTCTGATTTCTCTAATTTGAGCAGATACCGATATTTTAAAGACCGATACATCAGTGATGACTATGTACTCATACTGATTCATATGAGTTTCACAAGTTTGAGTTTTATGAGTATGTTTCAGATGAGTTTTACAAGGAATACTAATAATATTCCTAATAAATGTGTCAATCAATCGACATAAACATAAATTTGAGCAGACATCGATATTTTCAGTTGTCAGAATCTACATTTTTCACTGTTTTTATTGAATAGTTCTATTGAACACCTAGCCATTTTGGGGAATTTCCCGCGATTTGAAGGTTTTATAAAATTGCTTGATTTGAGCTGATGGTTCATATATTTTTTTTTAAACTTTACTACCTTTTTACCGTCATCCTGCTTAAATAGAAAAAATATATAATAATATATAAAACTTGTTTTACTTCTATTTTTTTCCTTTTTTGTTGACAAAAATAAGTGTTAATAAGATACCCTGAGGAAAATTGATCTCTTTTAACAAAAGGGAGTACTGCTAAAACTTCTCCTCCCTTCCCCGTTATAAAAAATGATAAAATAATTTGATAAGAGAATAAAAAGAAAATATGATACTCACCCTCCACCTTTCTGAACATTTCTTTGAAAATTCTGTGAAAATTACGTTTTCGTCAGGGTGTTGCTTTTTGTGTTCTTCGCGGCAAATTTGAACAAAGAAGGCGTAGGCCGATATCTTTCCTCTGGGCTTTCCACTCTTTTGTACTTTAGGCATTGTCCTTGGAGCGGGCTAAAAATATAGAAATATATTATGAGACATGAGATATAATATTTAACAACCTAGATAACATTATTGAAAAGGAAAACTACAGAAATTGATCATGTGTTGGGACATTAAAACTATGGCATGTTTTTGTGTCCTAACATATGATAAAACAATACCATGTCATTCTGTCAAATGGACGTAAACATAACCTAACCGTTTATGAATGTAAGGTGTATGATATTGTATATTATGTACATACAGGATATACAATAATTAGTAGAGATCGACCTATATCGAATTTTTGGCCGATACCGATATTAAAAAGGTCGATATGGCCGAAATATCGGTTTTTCCTCCCTTTTCTTCAAGGCTTGTACAGTTTCACATAGAACTTCGTACTTATTTCTAAATAAATAGACCATCTACTCATCGCCCTGTAAGCAAATTTTGACCGATAAAAGAGGGATAAACCTATATTTCAACATATCGGCTTTTCGTTCCAATATATCGGTTCCATACAAAGTAGCATGGAAAATTCTCGCAATTACTGAATGAAAGCATCAATCAATCATCTAGTGCTAGGTCTATATACATATTTCAGCCGATACCTATATTTAAAAAGCTATATACAAACACATTTTCTTTTCTATTATATTATAAAGACCGATATTTCGGCCTTACGACCTAATTTTATCAAGGTTCATACTTGGAACATTATTTTTATACTATTATTGATAGATAATAGATGTGTCAATCAATCGTCAAGAGATCGACATATACTCCAGTAACTGTACTTAAATATGTGACAAAGAAATATTTTTATATTTACATGAATTGATGGATAAATATTCTTCTTTATTTAAAAAATATTTATTTTCTCTCAAATTTACTAGTCTAATTACATATATTTGTTATTGTATTCACTTCTGTAAATAGGATTATAGTTGTATTTACAGGTGTTGTAAAGGATATTGTTATATTCCTAAGCAATTACTAAGCACATATTAATAAAATTTAAAATAAACGTTATAAAGAATATTGTCCCATACAAAAAATCTTAAGAATAATCATTTTTATTAATTATTAAATAGCCTTTGAACAGTCTAATTTTAGCGGCATTTTTGCTTTGAAATAGTTACTATTATTTGTTTTGTTTTTCATGATGAAAATCCCATCTATTTCTAATAGATATAAGGGAACCCAGCCCGAACATGGATGCCAGGTATAGGATGCCTGGTGACATATCATTCATGATTGGACATGGACATGGATTTCAGAAACTATTAATTTTTGCAAATTTAATACATATTTTTTATTTGCAATAAAAAAAAATTTGATTAAAAAGAAGAAAATCTTACCATAATTTTATGTGGATATAACAGTGTTTATTACCACTTCTAAATAAAAGTGTATGCATTTTTAAGGGCATGTATCTTGATGCAAATGTCTGTATTCAGAACAGTAAATTTGCCATAATATTTAATTAGGACTATTTATACATACTGTTATATGAATATAAACATATTCTTTACCATACCTGTAATTAATACTGCAATACATATATTCGTATTTACAGAATTGAATATGACAGCAAATTCATGTATTTAGACTTGTAAATCAGAAAGAAAGTGAATATTTTTTAAAATAAAGAAGAATATATATCCATATGTTTTTAATATAACAATATTCTATATTAGATATTTAAATAAAATTACTGGATATTTAAAAAAAAAAATCGAATTAAAGAACATTTCCATGGGTCAGGCTATGATGCATCTCATTTCAAGGACCATTTAGAAATTTCTTCCAACCCTTCTTAGAAAAAATAGTACCGTAAAACTCAGAAACGCTGGGTTTAAAATGAAAAAAAAAATGGAATATCTTAAAAATGCAAAGGTCTATAAAATAAAAAACGGAAAAAATAACATATTTTGCTTGAATGTCAATAATATCCAATTTGAGGATTCTACAATCATTAAATTAGTAAGGGCTAACGAAAACAAGACGTAGGCGGGTGGGGGGAGGTGTTAGCCCATTTGGACAATAGTTTTATTTTTATTTGTATTCTTCATCTGACAAGTAGGAGAAGAGGACCGTCATAAATTAAATGGTAATTAATTTTATTTAACGTATTTAATATTGTTTTCATTTAAGTATGAATCTTTTCCTTTTTAATCTATTTTTTTATTTATCTATTTATTTCTATTACTTATATATATGTATATTTTTTTTTTTTGCTACGAATTTCTGTATTTTATTTTATTTTATCTTCAAGTTACATTTCCTTGTTTTATAAAATAGTTTTTGCCTTGTTACATAGATATATTTTTATTTATTTGGTTTTTTAAAAATTAAGTGTGAATGTTTTCCTTTTTAATCTATTTTTTTTAATCTATTTATTTCTATTACTTATATATGTATATATATATTTTTTTTTTCTACGAATTTCTGTATTTTATTAAATTTCATTTTCAATTTATATTTCCTTGTTTTGTTTTTCTTGTTTTGTTGTATAGTTTTTTTTCCTTGTTATATAGATATATTTTTATTTATTTGATTTTTTTCCTAATTTTTTGTTTTTGTATTGTATATATTGTATGAATGAGACTCACTCACTCAGCTATAGTACTCGGTGTCCTTAAGTGTGGCAAAATGTATTATTTACTAATAAAAAATATACATTCAGTTTATAGATTGATTTTTAAATTTTGCTTTTTATTTTTTTTTGTTCATTTTTATATCTTATTTAGCCTCACGAAGGACAGAAACCGAAAGTGTATACAGGAAGACAACTTATTTTTATTGAATTTTATTTCTCTCCTGTAACATCCAGCCTCAATCCATGAAAAATAAATAAACTAAAATAATTAAATAACACCAATAAAACAAGAAACTTCCATCATTAGAAACCTATTACCAGTTGCTAAGCTTTTTTTTGGCAACTGTTGACCAAAAATATTATATATAATCCTAGTAAACAAAAATCTTATTTAGAACAAAAGGATATAAGAAAAATCACAAAGGAAATGGAAAAATCTTGTTTATCACAAAAGGAGCACAACAAATAAAAACACGTTTTTTGCAAACTTCCTTACGTTCTCCAGAGTTTTCCCGTACATGAGAAATTTAAGTACAATTCCCACTTTTCGGGTAATTCCCGAACTGGACCCTGACAGACCCATTTATCAGCATACTGGCATAGATTTCGTTTATGTTTGTACTTTCAGTACTTATGTTTGTACTAGTAGCTTTCAGTGAGAATTTAATTTCCCGCGGCTCCAAGTAAAACTCATTAAATCTTGATAAGGTAAGGTTTAAAGGTCGCTTTATCAATTAAAAAAAAAAAAAAAAAAAAATAGAGGAGGTGCCAATAAGTCAAACTCTACTTATCTGGATAAAATAAGGTCGTGAAGCCGATATAGTGGTCTTTGAAATATTACAATCTACTCAAATCAGGGTAAGAGAAGGACCAGAAAAAAATTAAATACAAATTTTATTTAGTTTACCAATCTAATTAAGGTGATTTATGTTTATGTCGATCCCTTGACGAATTATCGAAGCATTTATCAGCAATAAAAATATTATATTATAAGTAAAACTCAGTCTTTAGGATATACGTATCTGATGTAAATCTGAGAAGGATGAGCAAAAAAAAAAAAAAAGTTCTAACCTTACTAATCTCAATAAAATAAAATCATAAGGCCGGAATATCGGTCTTTGCTCGAATTTATGTTTATGCAGACCCATTGACGTTTGATTGACACATTTATTATCAACATTAATAATATGCAATGTGAAAGAGGTCGATATTAAATTAGAGGTCGAACATTTAAGCCTTGTAAAGTGAAATCAATGGGGTTAAGACCTAATTGATATTAAAGAAAACTTAATTATACAATGATACACCGAGTTTAATCACAATCGTTAAAGCCGTTTATGAGCAAATTGTAAAAATGTGTTTCAGCGTTGATATAAAGTGGCACTTCCGGTTAGCCGATTCTAAGGGAAAAGTTGCTGTCACATCTAAGGCATATACCTATCTTAAATATGTATTAACAGTTTCGTACGACTTTACGTTTTTGAGCTAGACTGCTAACCTACACACACACAGACAATTTTGTGGGACTTGGTTATTTGGACTCAGGGTACCTCAAAACGTGTATTTCCGTTGAAAACTCAGATTCAAAAATTTTCACGATCGCAGTACTTTCCCTTAGTATATATTACATAAACAAGTAAGGGAAAGTATAAATAACCAACAAAATCGATCCGCTAGTTCCCGAGATAATCTTGGCACAGACAGACAGACCAATGGCTGAAAATGTTTTTTTCGGACTCTGAAACGTATGGATCCGTCGAAAATCGCATGTCGGAAATCGCAATACTTTCCTTACCTAGTATAGGTAGGAAAGTAAAAAAAAAAAAAAACATATATCGGCATATTGGTGTTTGATATCGGTCGATCTCTTGTAATTAGAGAGGAATATTTAAAGGGGTGATAGCAGACTAGTGTTGCCCAAACGCAAGAACAAGACATGAGTTAGACAGCTAGACTCTTGGTCTTGCGCGAGAGTCTTGCAGTTACCTATTACTTCATTGCTATTTATTAAACATGTTACTTTAGATCTAAGAAAAACGTTACAGAATGGGTACATTTAGATGTTATACTGACATAAACATAGTAAAATCCAACCAAATTAATAAAATTAACTTGACAATACAGTAAAGGCATTGTCAAGAAATATTTGCCTACACCATAGAAGGAATGGAACAGTTGTAGAGTAAAGTAAATCTAAGCAACCTTACCAATTATTTATTGCATATTATAACATACTGTCACTTAAACAATGGTTATGGGAGGTAAGATCACATTTACACTGTACCAATTATTTAATAAGTAATCTGATGTATTCACTCACACGATTTTCCTACCGATTTAAAACTTTTTTTAAATTAGATTAATTTTCCAGAAAACCTATCAGAGAAAACATTATAGTACGATATTTTCTTATGGAGACCTTGAC